GCCCGCCTCGGCCTCCCAAAGTGCTGCGATTACAGACGTGAGCCACTGTGCCTGGCCGTTTTGTTTTTTAAAAGAGATTTAGAGACGCGGTCTCGCCCAGTTGCCCAGGCTAGAACACAATGGCTATTCACAGGCATGATCACAGCTCACTGCAGCCTCGAACTCCTGGGCCGACGTGATCCTCCTGCCTCAGCCTTGCGTGTACCTGGGACTACAGGAGCATGATACCATGCCAGGCTCTGTCAGGGTTTTTAAGGCATCATAACTCCATTTTTATTTTGGCACCCTTCACAGAGACAATGAAAGAGAGAATGTTAACCAAAGGCAAGTCCGTGCCGGGCATTCCAAACATTCACTCTTTCACTCTTCCCTTCCTCTGAGACCAAGAGGCAGAAAATGGAAGGACTGAGGTCCAGCCCCAGGTCTATGTCACTCTTTCTAATTCATCAAATTGGCATTTTGACCTTTGGATAGTTTGCTCCAGGAAGTCCGTATGTCCATGAGAAACTTACTTCCCCTTCTTCCCCTTCTTCCCCTTCTGCCTTTCTCCATCATGGTCATGACTTGGGGACATGAGCTCCAGCCTAACAGCACGTTCCCAGCATCCCCGCACCAGGTGTTGCAATGGGAGTTCACCTCGGACCACTTAGTCCCAAACAGTGAGACAACTCACAGATGCCATGTGTTCCGTTCACTTTTCCAGTGATCCTAAAATGAACTGCAGCCCTTGGGAATGGCAGAGCCTACATGATGGTTGGTATATCTTGACAAGCAGCCCTCACACCCAGGAGAAGGCAGTGTGCTCACCTCTGTTTCCTGGCATCCCCTTGGCTCAGCTGATGACACTGATGTTTGTGAGGGTAGTTGAGTTCATGGACCTTGCGCCATATTTTCCAAAGTCCATGGCTCCATTTTGAGATCACGGTCTGAACTCTTGACTCTGGCCAGCTCTTTCCAGACGTGTCACCCAAGCCACGAGGAGGATCGAGGGAGGAAGCGAGGGTGGCTTGGGTCAGATCTCCACTGCTCCTGTTGAATAAGCAAGTCCAGCTCCCACTGCCTGCCTTAGGCTGAGTCATTGGCAGCCACCCTCCCCCCTTGGACAGGGCAGCACGTAGTTGGTAATATTCTGGACACAGGCTCCCACCCATGCTTCCTGCATGCACCCTGGCCCATGGGGTCTCCTGGGATTGTTGGAGACAGCATGGTAAAGTTGACACTGCATGACACAGACCAGCTGTGGTCACAAATGTCTCTTGGCTGGCTGGCTTTCTGGGATGACTGTCTTTAAGCTGTGAATATGTGACTCAAATTTTGTTTCACTTCCTGGCTTAGCATGATGAGTCCATGGTGTTTATCTATGTGGTCATGGATTCGTTTAATGAATATTTGCTGAGCACCTGCGTGATGGCTTGTGCCAGGGTCATAGCAGTAAACACATGCCCAATCTGTCTCGCAGAGGATACACAAGTAAACAGGCAGCCACAAGACACTCCAGAAGGAGTTTTAAGGGGGAAATCCCAGGACGGGCAGGGGGAAAGCCACTGGCCCAGCATCCCCAGAGAAAGCAGCAATGAAGCTCATTCTGAAGAATGAGTAGGAGCTTAGCAAGGGGAAAGGCAAGGAGGAGAGCATTTGGGAGAGGGAGTAGTGCATGCAAGAGATGAAAGCAGCAGTTGGCAGGTCCAGGTGCAGGCTGCTGAGAAGGGCTGGAGTGGGGACCATTGAGGGACCAGGCTGCAGAAACATGCAGGAGCTGGTTAGCCATGCTAAGGAGTTTGGACTTTCCCCCAAGAGCAATGGGGAAACACTGGAGGATGCTCAGCAGGAGAGAGACAAGACCAAATTTGCATTTTGCGGGAGGTAGGCATCCGAGCAGAGCAGGGTTGGAGGCTGGGAGACTTTGGCAGTGACTGAAGGGAGATCGTAGGGGCTTGGAGGAAGGCGATAGCAAGAACAGCAAAGAGAGATGGACAAATTCAAAATATCCAGGCAAGTGATGAGATGTAACCACACTCGGCATGCTGGCTTGGGCAACTGCAGGCTGGTGGTGCCATTTCCTGAAATGAGAATCTGAGTGAGCAGGGTAGGATTTGGGGTAGATGCTAAGTTTAGTTTTTGGACACACTGAGAGTGGGACCTGTATGACCTCTAAACAAAATCGTTGGTGAATTAACATCCCAGAAATGAGCAGAAACCTCTATTCTTTTCTCCCAGCAGATATTACTGAGTGTCTACTATATGCCAGATAATGTTTTAGACACTGTATAAAGTGTCATTCAGGCAGCCAAGTACGACCTCAAATACCCCCTCAGTAAGCCCTACCCACAAACTGAAAACAGGAATCAGCATTATAAGCCAGCTATCAGAAAGGCTACATACAGTTTTTCAGATCAGCAGACAAATGGTGACCTGAGGAAACTCTTCCAAAGGGCGAGATATGAATAGCTTGATCAATGGGTGCTTTAAGGAAGTTTATGCTAGAATAATCCATGTTGTAGTTGGAGAAAAATGTCAGTATTAACTCCTGGATTTTATGTTTGCATTTTCCCTTGAGGTTACACATTTCACAAATTCAGAAGTTTTTCTGTGAGAATTTCAAGAACAAGGACATCCAAAGTGCGGAAGCAGGTGAGTTTGTGTTCTCCGTGGATTAAGTCAGAATGCTGCTGACTTCAGGGGCATCTTGTGGTCTTTACGGAAGAAAGCCAGCCCATAAGCCAGGGCGCTTGTCCATCAGTTGCGATTCTTATCCACTTCCCAGTGTCTGAGAAATAATAGGTGCCCTGTAAATATTTGTCAAATGTGCAGTGAGTAAAACCAAGCTTGGTAAACACATTTTCATATGCTCCTCGCTGTGATAAAGACAAACGTGTTGGTGTCAATAAATAGCTCACACCTGTAATCCCAGCAGGGAGGCCCAGACGAGTGAATCACTTGAGGTCAGGAGTTCGAGACCAGCCTGGACAACATGGTAAAACCTCATCTCTACTAAAAATACAAAAATTAGCTAGGCGTGGTGGCACGCACATGTAATCCCAGCTACTCAGGACGCTGAGGCAGGAGAATTACTTACCCCAGGAAGAGGAGGTTGGAGGTTGCAGTGAGCTCTAGCCTGGGTGACAGAGCAAGACTCCATCTCAAAAAAAAAGAAAAAAAAAAGTAGTCTTTGTATTGAAAGACTAAACGGAGTGCAGCAAGCATAAAGCAGCTGTTCTTCGTCTCTTTGGGCTCTAACCAGTCATGACTTGTACGTTCACAGCTGCACTTGTTCAAGAGGACTTTTCTGAGGCAGGATCAAGAATCAGGATAAGTTCTTTTTTGCTAGAAAAAGGTTCATTGAGCCTCATGAGGAGGCTGGACAGCTTCTTAAAGCAGCTTTTTTTTTTTGGATAAAGCCTGCTGCATGGTGCGGCTGCCTGAGATCAGAGCCAGCCTCCTTTCCAAAGAGAGGCTAACAAATTCTTTTCTCACCTTCAACTCTGAACAGGAGAAGTAGTCTGAGACCATCTCCTGGCATGAGAGAAAGAGCTCTGGATTGATTAGTGATGGCTGCCATGCATTGGCCATCCTGAAAGTGGAAATTGACATCCAGTGAGTGAATATGTTGTATCCACAATTCTGCCCCTGCCTATAATCATCCTAATGGGCTGAGACTTTTTCTAACTCAACATAACCAGTCCACCTAAGGCGATGTAATATTTGAGATGCAAACCCCCTGAACCCCAGCACCAAACAATATCATAATATTGGTGAATAACAATAATAGTAACAGGAAGAAGAATCAGGTACCCAAGGTCACACTGTGAAACTAATGGCAAAACCAAGAAATACATAGATGGGGCTAGTGGCCCTTCAGGTCCTGTCTGGCGTTCAGATTGAGGGTTTTAGGCACCTCTCCTTTCCCCAGCTCTGTACTAACAACACAGGAGCTGAGCCATGCAGAGTCCTCTCCCCATGGCCTCTCGAGCCTCACCTGGCCTGGCATCCTCGGTTTCGCCCTCTGCCCTCCTCTATCAAAAAGCCTCTTCTTTTAGTGATCACTGACTTTATCCTCAAATTAGATGCCCCTGAATAAAGTCTTCTACAGTTTGGAAAGAGCCTTCTTTTATTGTCAAGGGAGGGTCACGAGAATCCTACCCTCTTTGGTAGGCCTACTATTACATTTCAGATGGGTCATGCTTTGGAACTCATAGTGCAGTAGTTCTCAACAGGGAACTGGGGGGTGATTTGGCTTCACTGGGGACACTTGGCAATGTCTGGAAACATTTTTGGTTGTCACCGCTGAGGAGGGAGTGCTACTGGCATGTAGTAAGTAGATGCCAGGGCTGCTACTGGGCATCTACAGTGCACGGGACAGCTCCCCAAAACGCATGTATCTGGCCCAAAATGTTTACAATGTCAGGGCTGAGAAACACGGTCGTAGGGGAAGCCAGAACGTTCTTGTTGCCTTGGCCCCCCAGGAGTGCCCCAGACAACGTCCCTGTTCCACAAAGCTTTTCCTGATTCCCCACATTGGAGGGCAGCGCGAGTGCCTCTGAAGTCCTACAGCTGTTAGCCGACAGCTGTCCTGGACATGTGACATGTCCTGGGTGACCTCGTAAGACTCCTTCAGTGTCCCCCTCAAAGCCTCTAAGCCCCCGAGGCCCACACTTCACCACTTCCTTTCTGAGATGCCTGGGGGGGCTGCTTGCCTGCTTCATCTGCTTAATGATCCATCGAGCAAAGGAGTTGGGGGAGAGGAAGCTGATGCATCTTTGGGTGGGGACGTTATTGATGTGTTTGCTCAGCATCATTTTCTCTCCTCAGATGTGATTCTCGAGTGCCTGGGCTTCAAATGGGAACTCCATCAGCCCCAGCTTTTTCAGTCTGAGACCTTGGCCAAGCTCTACCTGAAAGCCCTGACGCAGGGCACCACATACCCCCTGAGGGAGCTGGAGGAGCTTCTGCGAGGTACTTCCTCTCTGGTGTGCAGTGCTGGAGCCTCAGTGCCCTCTAGCTTGAGGGTCCCAGCTTGGAACATGGTTATCTGTTTTGAGACCACGGTCACTCTAGCAGTCAAGAGCAAGGCTCCACGGTGTTATCTCATCCCGTGACAGCCTCAGTTTCCTCAACTGTAAAATGGGATAATAGTTCTTAGGATGCGGCTTTGAAGAGTAGAGGAAGTACTAGGTGTGAGGTTCTAGAACAAGGCCTGGCGCACAGCGAGCACTCAGTACATGCCAGTTATTATCCTTGAAATAACCCGAGTCTTGTCTGGCCAGCCCAGACATACAGACTCTACCTACTTCTTTGAAAAGGAAAAAGGGGCTGTGGGGAATTTTCTGAAGAGCTTTTTGGAAGGAAGGTGGAGTTCTGATGTCTGTGACTTATTTGGCCCTAAGTGTGCTATTCAAGGCCCACATGTGTGCATCTGTTTTGTTGTTGTCTTTGCTTTTCTTTCCTCTTCTCTTCTCATCTCTCTTCTACCTCATTCCAAAAAGAATGTAGGCCACTTCTTTCTTTGTCTCCCAGCAGAGAGGTCTGACCACCCCAGCCTCCTCTCACCTGGTCTCTAAGTTGTCTCCATCTGCACTGCCAGCTGCTGCTTTGGGCTACAGGTTGGCATCCCCTCGGGCTGACTCATAAGCAGGTGCCATGGAAAATTCGAGGCCCCCAAAGCCAGCCAGCATACCAGTCATGATGGGCTTTCATTTCCAAGACATGACAGCAAAGCCCTGTTATTCTAGAGTCAGACAGGCAGCTGGAGCCCCCAGTCATTCCCCCTCCCTGAGCCTGAGCCTGGAGGGAGAGCCCCGCTGCCTGCGGGAATCTGACTCAGTCCTTCCCCGCGGTGCAGGCAGTGAGAGCCAGCTGGGCCCTGCAGAACTGCGGCAACCTCGGTGTTGGCTCATGAGCCTCTGTGCTCTTCTGAAACCTTTGTCCCAGTGTCTTCAACAGCCAGACTGGGCTCTTCCATCTCCCCTGTACCCAAGTCAAAACATTCACCAGACCATCTGTGAAAGGCTCTGGTGAGCCAGACAGTGAGTTCATGGAAAAGCAGGAGAATTTGGAAGCAGAAATGGAGTCATGAACATTATGGTCTTTAACGTGTCTAGAATGGGTCACTAAAATGAAAATATTTGGCCCTGCTAAGACAGCCACTCTGATCCAAGCCTTCCTGCTAGAGGCTGCGCCTGGCTGGGAGACAAGAGGGAAGGTGCCGAGATGAAACCCCAGTGTCCGGGACTGTCACGACTCCAGCGTCTCCTCACAAGCTCCATGGACTGATCAAGCCCTGGGATTCATGTCTTTCAATAGGAACAGTCACAGTCCTTCGTGTGCCTTTGAAAGCGAACATATCTCACAATGGTGGTTTGCATACCTGTCTCACAGTTATCACTTGCATGTTCTTGAGATCATCTGTGTTGCTATCCTGGAACTTCTGGCCAGACCCTGGAGTGCTGGACTCCGCAGAGATGCACAGGCTCTCCAGCTGCTCGATTTCCTTCCATGGAGAGTGGAGGAGCAGCTGTCTGGAGAGGACGTGTTTATTCTCTAGCGGGGAATCCAAGAAGGAAGCGGCCCACTTACCGAAAACAAACTAACCACCTTGGCTTTGGAGAACCTTGGAGAAGAGTGTGAACAAATTATTGATATCTTATCCGATTTGGGGGTTTTACTCAACCTGGAGGGAATATTGAACTTCTGCCTTTCATTTACTCTGACAGAACTGATTCCCTCCCTCCCTCCTTCTCTTCCTTCTTCTCTTCCTTCCTTCCTGTGTGGAATGCTTAGCTTATGCCAGGCATTGTGCTAGGAGCTTACCATCTGAGGGGACAGACAAACCCAAAATGATTGGAAAGCATGACAAATACTGTGACACATTGTAATATTAACTGCCACCTCTTGCATGCCTACTGTGTGCCAGGCACTCACGTGCATCCTCCCATTTACTCCCTGCCATGGGATGGATGGCAGGCTGGCATGAGCAGATGCGAGGCCGTGTAGTCATGCCGGAGAAGAATGTGACCCAGAGTGGAATAAGCCTGGCGCTTAGGAAGTTCTCAGTGAGTATTTGCTGAGTGAGAGCCAGCACAGAGCCAGGTGACGGACGACAGCGCGGGGAAACGGAGGGCAAAGGATCCTTCGCTCTCTTTTTCTTTGTAGCTGCGCAGGATGATGGACTTTTTGGCTCTGGCTCACATCATTTTTCATTATCTGGAACCTTGAGCTCCCTGGTGATGGAATCTATGTGCTGCATTCATTCAGCCAATATTTACTAGCACCAGTGTGTGCGAGCCTGGGGTGGGCCCAGGGGATGGAGCAGCGAGTGAACCACCTCAGCTGAGCTGCTAGGGAGAAAAGCACAACAGGGGCAGAGAGTAGTAAACGGAAGGTCATGGTCAAGTTAGTCTCTGAAGAAGAATAAAGCCAGTTAGCGGGGGAGTGGGGTGCTACCTTACATCTGGGGTCAGGAAAGGCCTCTCAGAGGGAAGGACAAGTGAGAAGACCCCTGATGAGGGAGGGAGGGCGGGAGTCCCACACCATCCCGTGGAGCATGCTGGTGGG